CCTGTTCATGCTCTGTCTCTCTCTGTCCCCCAAAAAATAAATAAAAGTTGAAAAAAAAATTAAAAAAAAAAATTTTATTGTAAACCCTATTCATTGTTTCGAGAAAACCCAATAGGAAAGGCTGCAGGAAAGGCAGGCAAGCAGGATTCGAGTGAAAACATCTTTCCATTTAATCTTACTCCATTTGGATGCCAACTAGAATCTTGATACTGACAAGAATAAAGAAGCACTTGACATTTCAGTCTGATTTTATGAGGACTTAATATCAAGAAGGCTAATCTGAGCAGTATCTATACACAGTTGACCCTTGAACAATGTGGGAGTTAGGAGTACCGACCCCCTGTGCAGTTGAGAATCCATGTATGACTTCTGACTCCTCCAAAACTTAAGTACTAATAACCTACCTGTGGACTGGAAGCCTTACATAACATAAGCAGTTGATTAACACACATTCTGGGTTATATGTATTATATACTGTATTCTTACAGTAAAGTAAGCTAGAGAAAAGAAAACGGTATTAAGAATCGTAAGAGAGCACATTTATACTACTGTATTTACTGAAAAAATTTGCATATAAGTAGATAATGCAGTTCAAACCCATGTTGTTGAAGGGTCAACTGTATACACTACATATACATATGCCTTCAGAAGTCATATTTGAAATTTTTACTTACTATCAAGGCAAAGTTTCCAAATATTAGACACATTTAATTGCTAAAGAAGCCTAGTTAGGAGACAAAATAAAATACCAACGTTTCCTTGAAGAGAAGCCTTGTACTGCTGTATAAATGATGAAAAGTACGCAATCTTTAGCTAACATTTTATCACCTGGTGGTCGGTTTGAAAATTCTGGCAGTTTAGGGCCTGAGTTGTCCAAGTTAATTCCTTGTTCTCCAGGCAATGGCTGCTGATCCGTGTCCTCCAGCCCAGCTGGGCGATTATCTGGGGTACTAAAAAATAAATTATACATTTGGGAGTAAGTTGCTTAGCTTATACATGAAAGTAGCTTAACTTCTCCCCTATTTCTGAAGACATAAAATCTGTTTGCATTATCATCTTTATCGTAACTTCCATATCTCTAGTCCGATAAAATATTCACTGTTTGGCATAAAAATAATCCAGCAATTTCATTAAACAATAAAATCTACTTAATCTAATAATAGTATGGCTATTTACTCAAAGTGCTTTCTACAAATTTCTGACATAATGATTTTCAAGTAATCATCCATCGCTTAAATGTTTTAAGACCTGATCATAGTTTGGACTATCAACATTATAAAGTATTATTCTTGTGAAACCACACTATCTTTGGTATAGTTATCAATTTCAACCATGGAGTCCAGATTGTTTATTTTTTGTGGATATTATAGCGGCAGCTCTCACAATTCATAACACCTTGCAAGAAGTTGTAGGTTGGCTGATGAAAATGGTATCCAGGGAATAAAGAAAAATGGAGAATACTAGAACAAAGCTAATTATTTCTGCTATACAATGAGTATTTGCAGACATCCCCACTGGTTTTGGGATGCTTTCGTTTTTACCTGGTTGTAGCTTAGAATTTTTAGTGGGGAAAAAGAAATGAAAAAAAATGTTATCTACTAACATCCACATTCCCAAAGAACCAATGTACTCACATCCATTTGGTTTGCAATCTTATTCCTAGCTGTATCTTTCTTCCCTATCTTTAGTTTCCCTTTGCCCTGATATTGGTCACCCAGTTTTAGACAGTATTTGATCTCATTGTATTCTGTGTGGTTTCTAAGCCTTACCTTAAATCCATTTTAAAAAGTCCTAGCACATGGAAATTTAGAGCTTGAAGCAGGTCTTTAGCACATCCAGATGCCTATAGCAATTTGTTCCTTCTATGACTTCTCTCTCGCTTCAAATTATAAGGGTTCTGTAGGTCTCTTTACTTTCATGGAACTGCACTGCTAAAAAATCTCAAGATATCTGGTCCAGTCACTTCATGTTATGGATGAGAAAACAAAGGCCCAGAGAGGTGTAAGAAACAGGTCCAAGGCTCTACAGTGAGCTAGTGGTAGAGTTAGGAGCAAGTGCTCTTCCTATTATACCTACTGTCTCCCTTTTGTAGGAACCCTGATGCCTATATAAGGTCCTTTCCACAATTTCTAGCCCCAACAAGTAAGCGATCTTCCTCAGAGCTGGTGAAGACAGCAAGAATGCATACTAATGGCAACTGAATAGCCTTACAATTTTAGACTACTGGGAGAAATAAATACCCTCCCAGGACAGCAGGTTGAAAGCAGTAAAGAATTTAACTTAGAGCTACTGGAAAAATTAGATAATTAAAAGTCTTATTAAGTCTGAATTTAGGAAAATATAGTTTGTTAATATACAGTCACAGACTTTTAATTTATAATACTCAAGAAGCAGCAAGTGAGTATGGTATAATCAAAGAAATATTGTGGGAAGGCTCAGAGACAGTTGGGTTTTATTTTGAACATTTATGGTTGTTTAACTAAAACTCTCCTACAGTTCTAGCAATTTGTTTCAATGAACCCATTTTACATTCATTAGTCACTATTCCCTATTAACAAATGTCTCTTTCAATTCTACGATTAAAGGCAGAAAGTCCAGTTTAATCAATATGCCCTCTGGAAACATTTTATCAAAGTCAAAAAAACATGATTAACACTTAGCTTCAAGACATGACATATAAATTAATCGTCCTTCCTGCTATGATCTTGCAAAAGAACTCACCTAGAGAACCTTTACTTAAGGGGTAATTGATTTAAAAGGTCCAACCATGTTAGAATGAGGCTTTAAGCTTCTAGGGATGATGGAGATGGAGAGCCTTTACTTACTTATTTTTTCACAAAATAGAGAGCCTTTGAAGGAAAGGCATTTGTACAAAAAATTATTTCTTTTTGTAAAAAGATTTTATTTTTATTTCTTTTTTTTTTTTTTAATTTTTTTTTAACGTTTTTATTTATTTTTGAGACAGAGAGAGACAGAGCATGAACAGGGGAGGGGCAGAGAGAGAGGGAGACACAGAATCGGAAGCAGGCTCCAGGCTCTGAGCCATCAGCTCAGAGCCCGACGCGGGGCTCGAACTCACGGACCGTGAGACTGTGACCTGAGCTGAAGTCGGACGCTTAACCGACTGAGCCACCCAGGCGCCCCTATTTTTATTTCTTTAAGTAATCTCTATATCCAACGTGGGGCTTGAACTCCCTACCCTGAGATCAAGAGTTGCATGCTCTACAGACTGAGACAGACAGGTGTCCCCAAAAAACTATTTCCATTTGAGAGAGCGGGGAGTTTTGATAAACTGTTTTCATTTCCAAAACACATTTGGCCTTTCTGGCTCCCTAGTAGCTGTTATAACCCTGAAGTGCTTTGTGGAGTGTAATGTGGGAGCACTGGCTACTTTTCAGTTTCTATGTGCCACAATCCCTGAGACTATAGACTTAAGAGACGTAGATCAGTCAGTTGCAATGTATGAACCTTGTTTGGCTCCTTATTTGAACAAACGATAAAAAAAGAATTAATTTAAGATAATTAGAAAACTTTTAACACTGTCTGAGTGTGTGAGACTATGGAGAAAGTGTTCGTTTTCCTACATGTTAATGGTATTATGTGTTCATTAAAAAAAAAAACCCAACCTGTCCTTATCTTTCAGAGGTACATAGTACTGAAAATATTCACAGTCATTTTGCTTTAAAATAATCAGAAAGGTAATGGGAGATGAAGGCAAGACAGACTATGACTTGGTAATTGTTGAAGCAGAGGGATTTCATACTGTTCTGATTTTATACACGTTTAAAATTTTCCATCAAAAAAAGTTCACATAGAAATAAATACAATTTGAGGCAAAACTATCACAACCTACTTTAGATCTTGCTGACTATTTTTCTTCTTCCGAGGGGGTTTCTTCTTCTTCGGTTTATTTGCGTTGGTATTATTTTGCTTATTGTTTACCCCAAAATGGCCTGCAGAGATGTCACTCTGCAATAAGTTGACCAACAATGGGCTTGTTAGTGTGACATCCTTATTGACTGGGAAGCCAGGATTCTGACCACAGGACATCTGATTTCCATTGGGTGCTCCACTGAAAGGTGCATTGAAAGGCATCCCATGGCCTGAGAAGTGGTTTCCCGAGGCACTGTTTCCCTGCATGGCCTGCACGTGGGGGGGAACCATGTTGGTTTGTTGCATGTTAACATCAGGCATCATCTGAGACAAACTGACATCATTGTTTGCTGTAGTAGCAGGATCACCATGCTGCTGGGCCATGTGTGGGCTGGGCCCTGGTGGTCGCAAGACCTGCCCCTGAATCCCCATAACCTGAGATGGACTGTTGCTCACGGGCCCTTGCTGTGGCAGCATCTGTCCTGATATCTGTCCCGTAAACTGCACCATGTTTCCTTGCATGTTTGGAGTTGGTCCCCTCATTATCTGTGCTGGTCCCGGCATGACATTGGATTGGTTCTGAGTGTTAAACTGTTGCTTATTCCCCTGCATCTGATTGGTCATGATTTGCTCTATCATTGGGTTCTGTTGGAGTAAAACTTGCCCCTGAGGCCCCATCATCTGGTTATGTGGCGCCATCATTTGTGGGCCCTGTTGGGGAAGAATCTGCTTGGGTGGGGTCATCCTTTGAGGCGAGGGCCCAAGATTTTGGCTTTGAGGGTTCACCATCATCTGGCCCTGAGGCATAAGCTGGGCCCTTGAAAGGATCATAGGATTCTGAGGGTTCAAGGTTCCTTGCTGCTGGACCATCTGGCCCTGGGAGGGCACAATCTGCTGGTGCATGCTCATCAGCTGAGATGGTGGGCCCTGCTGGGGCTGGCCTTGCATGTTGCCCAGGTTCACCTGAGGAACCCCAGAACTACCAGCCTGCTGGCTGTTCATGTTGCCATGAATTCCCATGAGGCCGGGCTGCATCATATTTGGTGGCCCGTGGGACACCTGCATCTGGTTTTGAGGAGGACCAGCTCCTTGACCACCTTAAACAAACAAACAAAAAAAGGACAGTTTCAGATAGAAATACTCTTATATTGGTATTAAGATACTCTAATTGGAGAAACACCAATAACTCATATATCCACTGACCAACATAAATAAATATGCTATGTTTGACATATTTTCTGTGGCTTTTTTGAAGTATGGAGACATGACTGTGGAATGATTGGTTACATTCCCAATGACCACACAACAGAGAAGGGGAAATGGTTTCTTTACTCCTATTTGGTAACTTAAAGATAACACTTTGAAGATCAACAGTTTAGTTTCTTTCAGATGAAATAAAGAGAAAGGCAGCATCTCATTGTTCGAAAATGACATGTAGCTATTTTAAGGTGAAGAAAATTAATGAAAAGCACTGTAGGCTGGTGAAATAAGCTCTGCTTTAGATGAGTCAGGAAAACAACAAATGTGATGCATTGTCTTAGGAAAACCTTGGCAATGCTAAACATGCTTCCTGGAAAACTAATGACTCTCAAAGTTTACATACTGGATGCTGCACGTGAAAGGAAAGAACACCTGATACTTCCTAAGGACAGGTCTCCTCTGCCCCAGTGTGGTAAAAATTCCTTATTCCTTATCTGAAGCTGAGCCTCTGGTGTAAGTCAACTGACAGATAACCCAGAAACTGCAGACAGAGGAACAGTTACCAAGGGATGTTAAAACTTCACTGACCCCTAGGCTCAGAGCTTTGGAGAAATGGTCTCCTCTGAGCCCACTGGTGTTAAATAAATCTCCGATCCACCAAAACAAACAAACAAACAAACAAACAAACAAACAAACAAAAAACAAAACTTCACTGACCCTTCCCTGTGGCAGTCCCTGGTGGATCATACAGCACATGTCCTATTCTCAGTTATTTCTAATTTAGACAAAGACACTGCCTGGCTTGCTGCAGTGTTTACTTATTGTTGGGTCTTTAGGATTTTCCTATAGTTACTTGCATTATCTCCCCCTTTTTACTGAATACTCTTTTAGATTATTTTATAGCTCTTTGTCACTTTTAAGTAAGGACTAGAAAGTGGCAGCCATAATGAAGTTATGAGGCCAATCCACACTCCAGCCAGGGAGGCAGGGGACAAACTGTCCCTTGTTCACATTATTCAGTTTTTCTGAATCCCAAAAAAGATTTTGGGATCATTAGCCTTATAAACTCTTAACTTAAACTCCATGATCACTGTATATACTGTATAAACTGAATATTCTGTACACACTGAATATACAGTGTATACTCATTCAATCATTAATTACTTGTTGAGTAACTAATATGCACAAGACACTTTTGGTGCTAAGGTAGTATCAATTAACAAGACACACCAAACCCCTGACTCTATGGAGTTGGCAAGAGACTGTAACAGACAAATATTTTTTCAGGAGAACTAAAAGCTAACAAGAGAAATAAAGTAGGGTTAAGAGAACAGAAAATGAGAGACAGGAGTAGAACGATCTTAGGAGAAGTGTGGAAGTCTAAACAGTATGTGCCTGTGGAAGGCACCATATAGAAATACAAAATAGATGTGCTTGGGTGGAAGAATGATGAATGATTTTATCACTATTCATAACTTCCTACAGAAACCATAAATTCACATAACCAGGAATGCAGTTTTGCATTGGCAGATGGGTAAAGTAAAACAGTTTAATCTGCCCTTCTCTCACGCTTCAAGAGGTAGTTTGAACTTTAAAAAAACAAAAAAACAAAGTTAGAACTTTTCTTGTTCCTTAGTGATTTACCATTAAAAGTTGGAACCACACAACTAAATTAACTCTAAGTGGGGATGGGGAGTTCTCCACAGAAAATGTTTGCACTTACTTCATTCCGAACTGGCTCAATGAGAAAGGATAAGAAGATTAGTCCATGTGGTGCCTAAGCAACCAGAAACATGAAGTCTGGGCATATTACAACACTGTTTTACAAATTTTTTTAGCCATTCTGCTCTATCCTATTTCTCCACAAATACACTGTCGGCATTAAATCTATACTGATTAAAGTCTGTTCTTCAAACACCACATTATAAACCAGAATTTCGACATTCTGCATAAACAAAGCTAACATGTACTATAGAGAGATTTTGAAAGGTGCAGTTGCCCAAAATGCCATGTGTCTCTGTACCTATAGTTTCCTTTGCCAGAAATGCCTTTTGCCCTTTTACTAACTTGGGGGTTGGCAAACTATGGCCCATGAGCCAAATCAAGCCCACTGCCAGCTTCTAAATAAACAGTGTGTGGAACACGGCCATGCTCATTTGTCATATTGTTTATGGCTACTTTTGTGCTGTGATAGCAGAGTTAAGTAGTTGCAACAGAGACCATATAATCTGCAAAGTCTGAAATATTTACTATCTGGAGTCCTTTACAAGAAAAAAAAAATTGCTGAAACCTGCTCAAACTCAAGTTTAATTTCCTTTCCTTCGGTTCCCAAGACACTGTACCTACTTTTGATATATTAGTTATTGCTCTGAAAGAATAATTTGGGTTTGAGATTAAGAGAAGGACCAGGATTTATATTTATCTGTATATTCTTATTATCTATCATGGTATCTAGCACACAATGTTCAATAAATGTTGGCTGAATAAATCACAGAAAACAAACCTGCATGCTGGACAGTTTGATTTGCTTGCAGCTGAGGGGCTCCTGAATTCCCAGGGGTGGTTGCTGTGGTCGAAGGCACCTGACCTTGTATAAAGTTCGGATTGGCCTGTCCTGCTGAGAAGCCAGGTGGGAGGCGTTTAGGCATTCCTTAATAGAAAACAATGAGTAAGGCAGTTACCTAGCAAATTTATACTCTTGCTTAGATGTGGAATGAATAAGGAAGGATGAGCTGCATGAAGTCTCCACTGGCTTAGCTCTCTCTGTCACACTGGTAAGATCTTTAATAATAAGGTTGGGAAAGATGGTTAAAAAAATCAACACAATCTCTTACATGAGCATTGTCAAAATGAAAAAGAAATACTAAAAAATTTACACTTAGAACATGCCAAGGAAGAGATGGCAATCTGCTCCCTAAATGTGATCTGAGGCCATGTCACAGCAAGGTTTAGGGCTCACTTTTCTCTGTAATACAACAGACCCCAAAACTTTACATACTTTAACATAGGTACCAAAGTAATATGCTAAATTCTCTCATATTCAAACAAATTGATATGAAATACTATAAAACAAAGAGCTGGGTCCTGATATTAACGATAGGTGATTTTTTTTCCATTGAGGGAAATGGATGACAATCTCCTTTGTGGAAAACTTCCCCCAATATTGTGCTCGTCTCTTGGGAAGAGACAGGAGATTAGCAACAATCCATAGGAGCTTCAAAGTGAGGCTATATTAAATTATCATCATGCCTTCTTCCCCTTATAAGGTTTGCTGCAATTCCGACAGCTATGGTACCAAAAGCCATGCTTTAATGGAATCTTACTAAAGTATTACTTCCTTTTCTAGGAAGGTTTAATTTCAGAAAACAGATCTGTAAGAAGGAGGATCTCAGAACCCACTCATTGTTTATAACATAGGCCTTGATGTGGCCAGATCACCAATGTGAGCACATAATCTGCTCCATGAAAGCATCAAGACCTAAAGCTCACTTAAAAATTTTTTGTTTTAGTCCATTTATTTTTAAGGACCAATTTTTCATTGTCCTGAAAAACGCTCTGTAGACAAATATGCATTTGTCCTTTCTTTAGCAGTGACAAGTCCCCATTTGCATGCTTCCACTATAATTAAATCAGGAATCACATTTGCAGGAGGGACTACCCAGCTTCCACTGATCCAGGACTAGATGCCCAGAACAGTGAAGTTTGGAACTGAAACATTCTTGCATTTTCTAAAAACTTCTTAGGATTTAAATATCAGAGCCTGCACGTCAGTAAAATTAATTACAAGAGAGTGAAGAGACTGATGAGCAACTTAATTTCACCAGAAACCATGAGAACATGCCTTTGCTATGTTGCACTAAAGATGCAAGGGTTTTTTTCTGGGTAGGCAATGGGTGTCTTTTGGTGGGGATATGTTCATCAGATGACAGTATTACTGGCACTCTCTATACCTTACTGAAAAGCTCCAAGCACATTCATGTGCACTAGATCAATGATTAATAAGATAAATAATAAACATGGAGATGGATAAGTTTTACTGTAATCGTTTTACCTCTCACACATTAAGCTCCATTGCTTTTTCTTCATACAAGAGGCACCTTACAAAATAAATAAATAAATCTCCTTTAGGTATAACTGGTGGAATTCCCTCTCTAAGGAGCAGGCATTGGCATTATAAACTATAAAAGTCAATGATCTCTGAAATTATTCCCCTTTAACACTTTAATCAAACTTAACAAATACCATGCTTACTACTTTACGAAGATTATCAAACTTGAAAACTTGAAGGGCCTTTTCCCCAAAAGACCCTGTATTTATTTTTTTCATTTTTGCTCTATTGCATAATCTTAATTTTTTTTCAACAGCTGAGCGATTTAAATTAATAAAATGCGTGTTTCTTCTGGACATCTTATCAGTCCAAGATCAAGCAAAAGTAATTTAAAAAACAAAATGAAAATCTCTATATTGAGTTTTACCTGCATTTTCATCCAGAGGGCTAGCTTAAATGTAACCAGTAAGATGCTGCATAATGTATCAAGTCAATAATGTATCAAGTTAACTAAGTTACATCAAGTGTCACCACTACATCCACAAAGCCAAATAATTACATCCTCCCTCCATTAACTCTAAAAATTGAAGTTCTACTAAGATCTATCTCCAGTAAATTTATCAACACAAATAGCTTCAGTGCTCCTCACCTCCTAGGCCTGGATGTAAACTCTGTGGCCCCTGGTTTGGTGGCTGCTGCTGCATCACCATGAAGTTAGGTGGCACATTTCCCTGTTGAACCATAGGATTCCGACCGGGAGAGCTGACGGGCTGCTGAAATCCCTGGGGAAGTGGGTTATTTTGAGGTGGCCTTGGTCCCATCTGCTGCTGAGTTTGGTTAACCGTTGGGGAGGATGCAGGGGATCCCTGCTGGAAGGAGGAGGGTGAGGAGGCAGGAGACTTGTTGGTGAGGTGGGGCTGCTGCAGGGGGGTTGGGACCCTGGAGGGCCCTCCCTGCAAGCTCTTCATCTGAGGAGCTGTGAACTGGCCTGGGTTGCTCATCTGAGGAAAGTTTGTATGGGCTTGTGAGGCTTGCTGGCTGCCAAAGGGATATGGAGGGGGCGGGTGGGAAGGTGTCTGTACCGTGGCTAAGGATGGTCTTGCCTGGAGCTGCTGTTGCATTGGGCCAGGCAAGGGAGCCTTCTTCCACCCTTGGCTTGCAGTCATTGTGCCCAGAGAACCCTGGGCTGGAGGAGGCTGAAGGGCTCCAGAAGGCAGCTGGTTCCAGCCTGGAGGAACAGGCACCTGAGTTGGGGCAGTAAACTGGGGTCTCATTCCCTGTGGCTGTTGCTGCTGATGCTGCTGTGGGGGTCTTGCCTGCAACTGCTGCTGCTGCTGCTGCTGTTGCTGTTGTTGTTGTTGCTGCTGCTGCTGCTGCTGCTGCTGCTGCTGCTGCTGCTGCTGCTGCAGCTGGGGAAAATTAGCTGGGTTCATTTGTCTGTTCACAGGGACAGGCTGCATTGGGTGGTGCGGGGGAGCTAAAGATCCTGAGGGATGATTTTGCTGCTGTATATGGAGCCCAGAGAGGAGTGGATCCATTGCATCTGTTTAAAGACAGTCAACAAAGCAATAATTAAACTACTGCAACCCTAGATCCTACAGTAGTCCTGGCAATCGTGAAAAATATAGAGTAAAATCCCCTGGTACCTTCAATGAAATGTTTGCGAACACCTTCTATATGCAAAGCAACACACCTTCTATATGCAAAGCAACACACCAAGATGACAGAAAGATGAATATTGTCTAGAAAGAGCTTATGGTTCAAAAGTGGATATAAGAGCCAAACATAAAATGTGGAGAGCAGTATTTTCCAAAGCATATTCTTGGGAACTATGTTCATTAGTGTTATAAGAAAATAAAACAAAATACAGTCAATTTGGTTTGGGAAACAACTGAACCTAACCACCTTAGACAGGTTTCTTCATGGCAGGACTTCCAGTGCCTCCAATACATTAATTCTGAATCTCTAGGAAGGAGGTAACATATGATGCACTTACCAAATTTATTATGGAATTCTCTGCCAAGAAGTATCTTGCAGGACTAAGTAGCCCAAGGAATGCATTGTTAGGAATGTTGGGTTGTAACTGATAAGAGAAAGAGAAATTCTGAGAAGGAAATGGACTTTCAACTTGAAGAAATAGGGCAGATTTTGTGAAGAAGGTGGCATTTAAGTTGGGCAGTTAGGAACGTGGAATCAGAAATAGCTGAATTTTGTAATGATCTCTGCAGAGAGTTCCAGCCTCTTTAAGCCACAAAGATTGGAGGTCATTACCTGACTGAGAAGCAGGGCGAGGAGTCCTGGGCTGCAGCTCTGAATTGGGGCCTGGTGCCATCATGGAAGATGACACATTTCCACTCTGGGGTATCATAACAGTGGCAGGGCTGGTCATCCTTATTAGTCCTAAAGGAAAAAGAAAATCTGTAGAACAGAGTACTGGAATTGGCACAACATTTGTTTTTAAGTAAAATATTTCAAGAAGATAAAAAGGTATGGAAAATTTATGTACCCATCATCTACCTTGTTAATTAACATTTTGCCCCATTTCCTTCAGATACATATGTAGATACAGCAGAAGTCCCCACTCCTTCCCAATCTCTTTCCACTCCCACTCTCTTATAATTGGGATTAATAGTTACATGCATGTTTATCTTTTCTACATATGTGGAATGTATGTATGCTTTTCTGTATGCTTTTAATCTTTGTATAACTGGCAAAGTCTGTCTTCTTCAGTTTCCTTTTTCTCTTAATATTATTTTTTGAGATCCATCCATCCTGACTGCCATTTTATGGAACCCACACATTTATTCTCCTGCTGATGAATAGTAAGATTCTCCCTCCCACTGCCCTGAATTTTCAATATTATAATTCTGCAATGTCATGTATTCTTGTGGACATGTGTCTTTAGACTATATACCCAGAATTCCTAGGTTTTAAATTATAAGCATCTTCCATCTTACTAGATATTGCCAAACTGCTCTCATAAGTGGTTATGCCAGGGGTGCCTGGCTGGCTCAGTCAAAGGAGCATATGACTCCTGATCTCGGGATCATGAGTTCAAGCCTCATGTTGGGTAAGAGATTACTTAGGTAAATAAATAAACTTAAAAAAAAAAAGTGGCTATTCCAATTTATATTCCAACTAGCAATTTGAGAACTCCTCTTGTTCCGTGTCTTTCCAATTTCTGATACTGCTAAGGCTTTATAGGATTTACCATCTATATTAATAAGTGAAAATATATTATCCTCTCTTCATGTCTTTGCTTTCTGGCATCAAGATTAAAAAGTAACTTCAAAATAGAGCAGAAAAGCATCTTTCCTCTTTTTCTATGCTCTGGAAGAACATGTGTATCTGTTCTTTAAATGCTTAGTAAACTTACCTGGAAACTATCTGGGTCTGTGGGTTATGCTAATTAATTCATAAGGACACAGATTTTTAATTATTTCACAATTTCTTAAATACAGATTTTTCAAGTTTTCTTAAGTCAGTTTTGGTTAAATTATATTTTCAAGAAAACTGTTAATTTGCTGCTGCTTCAAAATTTATTAGGCTAAAGTTATTCACAACTTTTTTCCATTCATTGAGATATAATTCACATAGTATAAAATTCACCCTTTTAATTTTTATTTTATGATTCTACTTCTAAACTTTACTTTTTTAAGTTTTTAAAAAAATATAATTTATTGTCAAGTTAGCTAATATACAGTATATACAGTGTGCTCTTGGCTTTGGGAGTAGATTCCCATGATCCCAGCGCTTACATACAACACCCAGTGCTCATCCCAACAAGTGCCTTCCTCAATGCCCATCACCTATTTTCCCTTCCTCCTCGCCACCCCTCCCCCGCAATCAACACAGCTTGTTCTCCGTATTTAAGAGTCTCTTATAGTTTGCCTCCCTCTCTGTTTGAGACTATTTTTTCCCCTTCCCTTCCCCCATGGTCTTCTGTTAAGTTTCTCAAATTCCACATATGAGTGAAAACCTATGGTACCTGTCTCTGACTTATTTCACTTAGCACAATACCCTTCAGTCCCATCCATGTTGCTGCAAATGGCATGATTTCATTCTTTCTCATTGCCAAGTAGTATTCCATTGTATATATAAGACACATCTTCTTTACCCATTCATCAGTTGATGGACATCTGGGCTCTTTCCATAATTTGGTTATTGTTGATAGCACTGCTCCAAACATTGGTGTACATGTACCCCTATGAATCAGCACTCCTGTATCCCGTGGATAAATGCCTAGTGGTGCTATTGCTGGGTCATAGGGTAATTCTATTTTTAATTTTTTTTTTGAGGAAGCTCCATACTGTTTTCCAGAGTGGCTGCACCAGTTTGCATCCCTACCAACAGAGCAAGAGGGTTCCCATTTCTCCCCATCCTGGTCAACATCTGTTGTTTCCTGAGTTGTTAATTTTAGCCACTCTGACTGGTATGAGGAGGTATCTCAATGTGGTTTTGATTTGTATTTCCCTGACATACCATAAAATTCACCCTTAAAAAATTTTTTTTTATTTTTTGAGAGCGAGCAAGCACAAGCTGGGCAGGGGCAGAGGGGGAGGAAGAAGAGAATCTGTGCTGACTACACAGCCCAATATGGGGCTCAATCTCACGGAGTATGAGATCATGACCTGAGCTGAAATCAAGAGTCAGACGTTTAACCCGCTTAACCTACTGAGCCACCCAGGTGCCCCAAAATTCACCCTTTTGAAGTGTACACTTTTTTCTTTCTTTACATTGCTTATGACTTCTTTTTGTTTTACCAGGTTCATCAGTTTTAGTTGTTTTTTTCAAACAAACATCTTTGGTTTTGCTGCTTTGTTCTATTTTTAATTTATACTTTATCTCTGCTCTTATCTTTATTATTTCCTTCCTCCTAAGTTATTATTACTCTGTTCTTTTTCTCAATTCTTAGGTCAGAAACTTAGATTCTTAATTTTCAGTTCATGTTCTGCTCTAATATAGTTATCTTAGGGCTTAAATTTTCTTCCAAGCCCTGTATTGGTTACATCTCACAAATTTGGTATGTATTTTTGCTGTCCACCATGATTGCTTTTAAATCATGGATATTCAGAATATATTTTACATTTTCTAAAAATACAGCATATTTTGGTTAGCTATGTTTTGTTTGCCACTGACTTAATTGTACTGTGGTCATAGAACATGATCTGTGTGATACCAATATTTGGTATTTAATGAAACTTGGTTTTAGAAACACACATAGTCAATTTGTATAAATGTTCCATTTGTACTTGAAAAAATTAAAATTCCCGAATTAGTAGTGCATGTTTTCTATATACCTCCATTATGTCAAACTTTTTTTCTTATGTTATTCAAGTTTTATCCTTACTAATTTTCAAAATAAGCTTAATACATCAATTCCTAACACAGGTGTGTTAACAGGTCTCTGAAGATGTGATATCTCCATGAATCCTGTCCACTTTTGCCTCACATATTTTAAGGCTAGCTTAGTAAGTACATAAAAGTTTAGCTGTCTTCCTGATGAATATTTCCTCTTATATCATACAGAGACCCTATTTACCCTAATGCTTTTTATCTTAAAGTCTGTTGATATACCCTTTTTCTTGGTTAATATTCACATGTATTATCTTTTTTTCCATCCTTTTAACTATGAACTGTGTTCTTATGTTTTATGTGCTTCCTGTAAAAGCACATTAGTAAGCCTGAGATTATTATTCAATCTGATTAATCACCATCTTTTTATCAGTGTTCATAATACGTTTACCTGTACTGTTACTATATATTTTGATTCATTTTATCATCTTAGGATACCACTGCTCTTTACTCCTTCTTTCTATGGTGATTTCCTATTTTTTCTATGCTGTTTCCTAATTTTCTTGGATTTTACTGGATTTTTTCTAACATGCCCTTCCTTTCTACCCCTCCACTACTAGTTTAGGAGTTATACATTTTAGGAGTGCTTTGGTCAACTTCAGCTTAGGTCATGATCTCACGGTTCATGGGTTTGAGCCCCACATCGGGCTCTGTGCTGACAGCTAAGAGCATGAAGCCTGCTTCAGATTCTGTGTCTCCATCTCTCTCTGCCCCTTGCCCACTTGCACTCTGTCTCTCTCTCTCTCTCTCAAAACTAAACATTAAAAGATTAAAAAAAAAAGTTATACATTTTATTTCTATTATTTTAATGATATCTTTAAAATGTCAACAGACATAATTTAAAGAGTATGCTTTATTTAAAGTATTTATTTCAAGTATTGCTAAATAAGCCAATACTTATGTAGATTTGCCCCATGTTTACCAATTATTTAGCTCACCATTCCTTCTTGGATCTTATTTCTTCCATCTTAGGGTCAATTTTCTTCTTCCTGAAGTAGATTCTTGAGCACTGCAATTAGCAAGAGTCTGGCAATGGTAACTTCTCTTAGTGTCTTTGAAAATGTATTTAAAAAAAATTTTTTTTAATGTTTATTTATTATTGAGAGACAGAGAGACACAGAGCATGAGCAGGTGAAGGGCCAAGAGATGGAGAGACACAGAATCTGAAGCAGGCTCCAGGCTCTGAGCTGTCAGCACAGAGCCAGATGTGGGGCTCGAGCTCACAACCGTGAGATCATGACCTGAGCCAAAGTCGGACGCTTAACCGACTGAGCCACCCAGGCGCCCCAAAAATGTATTTTATACTACTCTTGACAGTACAGATAGGTTTAAAATTCTAGGCTGTCAATTATTTTCTCATCACTTTGAAAATATTATTTCAATGTTTCCTGGCTTCCAGGGTTGCTACTGAGAAATCAGCTGTGATCTGATAGTTTTCTCTTTGTAAATAATTGATCCTTTATTGTGAGTTGCTTTTAACATTCTCTTTTTGTTTTATAGTTTTTCAAATTTGTGTCAAACATGGATTTATTTTAATTTATATTGCTCAGTATTTCTGAGGATTCACATCTTTCACCAATGTTGGAAAAAATTTCAGCCATTCTCTCTGTTGTCATCTTCAATTTCTTTATTTTCTTCTTCTGGAACCCTTTTCAGATATATGTTAAATCTCATTTTATCCATCATGTCTCTTGACCTCTTTCATATTCCCATCTCTTTATTTTTAATTTGCTGCATTCTGGGTAATTTCTTCATATTAACCTTCCAATTCAGCTGTGTCTAGTTTGCTGAACAAGTTATTTACTTCAATAATTTTTAAATTTCTAGAAGTTCTGGGTTTTTTCCCCAAAATTCTGGGTTTTTTTTATTTTTTTAATTTTTTTTTCAACGTTTATTTATTTTTGGGACAGAGAGAGACAGAGCATGAACGGGGGAGGGGCAGAGAGAGAGGGAGACACAGAATCGGAAACAGGCTCCAGGCTCTGAGCCATCAGCCCAGAGCCCGACGCGGGGCTCGAACCCACGGACCGCGAGATCGTGACCTGGCTGAAGTCGGACGCTCAACCGACTGCGCCACCCAGGCGCCCCTGGGTTTTTTTTAATTAAAAAAATTTTTTTAATGTTTTATTTTTGAGAGAGACAGAGAGAGAGTGAGTGATCTTGCACAAACCGCAAGATCATGACCTGAGCTGAAGTCGGATGCTTAACCGACTGACCCACCCAGGCACACCTCAAATTTTATTTAATGTTTATTTACTTTTGAGACAGACAGAGAGTATGAGTGTGGAAGAGGCAGAGAGGGAGAGGGTGACACAGAATCAGAAGCAGGCTCCAGGCTCTGAGCTATCAGTACAGAGCCCAATGTGGGGCTCAAACCCACAAATGGGGAGATCATGACCTGAGCCAAAGTTGGATGCTTAACAAACTGAGCCACCCAGGTACCATTCCAAAATTCTGTTTTAATGGTGTCTTGTTCTCTTGTGATTTTCATCATTTTAAACACCCTGATACTCCAACTATTATAAATTATCTAGAATTTTGGAGGGAGGGAGTCTAGTCCTACATTTTATGAATCTGGAGTATAAACTCATTTATACTAGGGCTTTAACTATGAGAAGTCTGCAATGGCTCAGGTTGAGAATGTGTCCCTCCAGAGCATCAACAATTATTACCAATCTAGAACCACTTAATAATTTAGCTTCACTGTTCCAGGGTCATTTCAATAATATATTAAATGTCCAGGGTGCCTGGGTGGCTCCGTAGGTTAAGCGGCCGACTTTGGCTCAGGTCATGATCTCACGGTCCGTGAGTTCGAGCCCTGCGTTGGGCTCTGTGTTGACAGCTCAGAGCCTGGAGCCTGTTTCAGATTCTGTGTCTCCCTCTCTCTCTGCCCCTCCCCTGTTCATGCTCTGTCTCTCTCTGTCTCAAAAATAAATAAATGTTAAAAAAAATAATAATAATAATATATTAAATGTCCAACATGAATCAGAGTAGAAAAGACAATTCCATAATCACCATTTCCCCACCTCCCAACTAGAGCCCAGGCCAAGACACGTAAGTTTTGCATTTGTCTCCCTCTGTGTCAGAGGGTGAAAATTTTCTAATCTACCTTTCACTGAAAATTCTAGTTTCAAATTGATAACTTCCTTCGTTATGTAGACCCAAGCCAAGGTTTCATATTTTATCCCTTCCTGGCTATTCAAACTCAGAGCCTTTGGTCCCTGCAGAATCTCTTCATTTGTTTACTGCTACTTAAATTTTCATTTTTGACTTCTTTTTCACTCTGGGGATTTCCTTTGAGTTCTTACAAGGTCAGCCATGCATTAAATGTTATATTTTGTCTAGCATTCTTGGGTGTTTCGTAGTTGGGACAGTTAGATAAATGTTTATCTGTCTATAACTGGATTTGTCTCTGAGAAACCCCCCTCCATTTTTCAAAGATGGTAATTAGACAGTAAGAAAGTTCTCTGGAGATAAGAAACAGGTTTTCTCAGTTTACAATGAGCTTTCTATCTCCAGAAATGTTCAAGAGCATGCTGACTACATGTTCAGTAGTGACACTCTAACATATATTCCAGCACTAGGTAGGAATCTGCATGAGATCCATGGTTCTCAACTGGGGGCAATTTTGTCCCCCAGAGAATGTTTGGCAACATCTGAAGACATTTTTGTTGGCACAACTAGGGGGGAAGGTGTGGTAGTGCTATTGGCATCTGGTAGGTAGAGGCCAAGCAGGCTACTAAACATCCCACAATGCACAGGACAGCTGCCCACAGCAAAAGATGATCAGCCCAAAATATTAACAGTGACAAGGTCAAGAAACCATGACTAAATGACTATGGCACCCTTACTAATCTTAGCAGTTCTATATGGCTACAAAAAAAATTTTTTTTAAAAGCCCATGGATTAAAAAAGGCTTTTAATTACAAAAGACTTCTGGCTTATCAGTCAACTTCTGTTGCCAGTGCTAAGCAAAGAAAGTAATACTAAGAATAAATGACAATCCAAGACATTCTAGACAGACAAATCCAAAGTCATTTATTATTGTTTTAGAGGGTAGTTAAGATCTCTTTCCCTTAAAACTTTCTCTGTTTATAAATGTTCAACCTAATATTAAATTTTATTTGCAACCACTGTCCCAATGGACATCAGAGAAAAATATTCCTAAAGTACGCTTGGCAGTAAAGAAAGATACCTAGGGGTTAAAATGTTGGTATGACTACAGATCATTACTTCAACTTTATTATTCCTTCAACTTTGTATTACATATATTAGCACAATCAGTACCCTTCATTAAATTCCAATCTAACTTGATTTCAACCTTAAGCTTCTAAGTTTCCTATGGTGACAATGAACTATATCACTATAATTTACACTTACATCCTAGAGATGCTTAGTAAATATGCCTGCTACTTGCCAGATACTTGCATTAGTGTGTTGATGTCAGTTTTAATAGAGTCCTAAAAATGTAAGGCTGGAAGGGATCCACAGCATTGTTTCTAGGACGTAAATATGTTTCCAGGCAATTGCGGCCAGTAAATATTAAGTCATTTGTCCAGGAGTTGAGACTAAAACCCAGATTTCTTGTCTCTCATTCTAGATCTATTCTTTTACTAACTATATGCAACTTGGCCAGAGTTTTCCCACTCTGGTTCTTCAGTAGTGGCACTAGCATCACTGATTATCTCTCATTAAGCTACCATAATACCAAATGCTCAGATTTCTGTGGAGAACTATAACTATACTGACTCCCTACTACAGGTACCAGGATAGGTCCTGTTTATCTACCATGTGGTATTCCGTAACAGCTCAACAGCACAGGTCCTGACATATAATAGGAACTCTGTAAATGTCAGCTACATGGCTCAGGGCTCATCCACCTTCAAACATGAGCACAAAAGACTGTAGGCATTACTATCTGATTTTTTAGGTGAAGAAACTATTGCTTGGAGAGGTACAGTGACTAGCTTGAGGTAATCAGGAAATGGCACTGCCAGGATAAAAATCTAGTCCCAATTTTATATGGCCAAGTCTTCAGCTACAGTTTGGAATAATGGTTTTATAAATTAAGTTTCTCCATTCTGCTCTATTTCTTCAAGAGCTACTGTGGTAAGTGGGAATGTGAATGACTCAGTATAGTTTCAGGTGGTTACTCTGCTTCAACCACAGCAGCTGTGCTTTTCTGGTTTATTTGAATAAAAGGTCCTAAAGCAGAAAAAGTTTGAAAGCCACTAATGTAGTGATAAGAGCACTGGACTAGGAGTTAAATCCGTGATATTAGTCTATTTCTACTTGACCCTGGGTAAACTGCTTCCTTTCTGTCAGCTTCAGTTTCTTCAGCTTTAAATGAGAGAGTACACTCAATTCTAATATTTTGTGATTCACAGAATGTTGAGTTCATTCTCTAAAGAAGAAATCTCAGTCTTACTAGAAAAGTTAACAAATAATTTATAACTCTCTCAAATTCTAAATATCTAAAAACACATATTCTTCCACATATTCTTCAGATTCCACATAAACACAAAGAACTCTCAGCTCAGATTCTCAGCCTCATAGAAAATGGGTGGCAATTGGAAAGCTACATACTCCATTATACTATAAACATTCTGAAGATAAAAAACATTTTATTCATTTCTTTTTTTTAAATTTTATCTTCTTTATTTTATTTTTTTAAAAACAAAAATTTTTTAATGTTGATTTATTTTTGAGAGACAGAGACAGAGTGTGAGTTGGGGAGGGATAAAGAGAGAGGGAAACACAGAATCTAAAGCAGGCTTGAGGCTCTGAGCTGTCAGCACAGAGCCTGATGAGGGGCTCAAACCCATGAACCGCCAAGATCATGACCTGAGCGATGCTTAACTGACTGAGCCACCCAGGCGCCCCTATTTTATTCACTTCTATCTCCAACACTTTGAGCAGAGTCTGTCCTACAATAAGAACTCAACAAATGTTTGCTGCACAGCTCAGTGCTCATCTATCTACATTTAAGCATGAGCCCATGCTCTGCGATTCTACCTTCCTGAGTGATTTAAATCTTATTTTCTTAAATCAGTAAACAGTGATGTGTCAGGAACCCCCACCTATTTTGCAAAACTCAAACGATCATACATTAGCAGATAAAGGGAAAAAGGAAACCAGTAAAATGTCATATAACTGAGTGGGAGATCTCACCTGGACCACCTGCCATGGGAAATGTCGCCTCCATCCTAACTGAATTTCCGGCTCCCATGGGTCCATTCATTCTCACATCTTGGCTTCGGTTCTGAGCCAAAGCCAGGTTGATAGCACCTTCCCCTGAAAAAATGACAGGTTACAAGAAGGAAACCATCAGAATAAGATGCAAATGTTTTTTAAAAACAAGTACACAAAAACTTTAGTTTTCTGTGTTTTTAAAGAACTATGGTAAGTTTACCAACCACACAAAAGGGAGGTTCAATACTATATAGGTCTTTCTTCAACTTCACTTGAGTAAGTTTACTTACATGAAGCACAAGGAAAACATAATCAATCCTCACAATACAGCAGATGGACAATCATTAATGATGTATGGTGTCAGGAGAGAGTTTGTAACTCTGAGTGACTATTTTCAACTAGCTCATAGTGTGTGCATGTGTGTGTACATGTCCATGTGTGCAAGAAGGAATTAAATGTTCTCAGAAACTCTCAAACTCCTAGATTACCTTTTGGGAAGTTATGACCAGAAGGTAGAGAAAAGAGTAAGTTTAATGGAGAAAGAACATATGATGGTATAGGGACACTGTAGTATTTGTGAGCAAAATCCCATTTCCCTTTCAACTAGTGCAGCATAAACAGATATCCATTAGAGATATTTATGCAATGACGAGTAGATAGATTGCTACTAATCTACTTTTGCAGCATCTAATTATAAGACCAACACTCATATGAAGTTTTTAATGCTTACAAAATTTTATCTCATCTGAACCTCACAATACCCTGGTAGGTAACATCTAGAAGTGTTCCAACTTATTAGACCCTAAACTTAGAGGTAACTTACTTAAATTTTACTTGGTTTAATGATAAAAAGAAACAAATTTCAGGAGACTTCCTGCGCTTAATCCAAAATTTTGACTATTGTTACTGTGGATGATAGCACCACCATGTGGACAGATAGAAGTATAGCTAACCAGTGGCTAAGAAGGTCAAAGGCAGCATTCTTTGGCATCCTTCCTTATGTACTGTAGGGTTCTGGATTACAGAGCCAGATGATAAAGTAGGAAGCTAATGAGGACACAGTAGTTTCCTGTCTTATCACTGATAAGTCACCCTTCTGTATTAAGTATTTCCACCAGGCAGGTAGGCTGGTTGGTCACAGGGAACAAACATCCTACTAATAAGGGACTGATTACCAGGGTTACAAGATGCTCTAAACTGTTTGCCTCTGGGAGTTAGGAATAAAAGAAAAAGAGAATACAGACCTTGAAGGTTTCCAATAAAAGGAAGAAACTATTAATATACCAAACTTAAGACATTCTTTTTAAAAAAAATTTTAATGTGTATTTATTTTTGAGTGAGAGAGAGAGAGAGAGAGAGACAAAGCACGAGTGGGGGAGGGGCAAAAGAAAGGGAGACACAGAATCCCAAGCAGGCTCCAGGCTCCGAGCTGTCAGCACAGAAACCAATGCAAGGCTCGAACTCACAAACCTGGAGATCATGACCTGAGCCAAAAATGGACGCTTAACCAACTGAGCCACCCAGGCTCCCCACTAAGACATTCTAAACAGAAAGAGTATTTATTCTTGAAATGGACATGAGATTATTTCAGTTCTCTGCTTAAAACTGTTCCAATGCTTCCTACTGTTGTAGAAATAAAAGCCAAACTCCTTAACAGGGTATAAAAGGCCTTAGTAATCTATCTAGTCCAGTGCTGTTCAACAGAAATATGAGTCACACATATAATTTTAATTTTTCTAGAAGCCACAGTGAAAAGATAAACAAAAAAACAAAAAAACAAACCCCAGGTGAAATTAATTGTAATATACTTTATTTGACTCAATATATCCATGCTATATCAATATAGCACATGTCAGTTTGAACTAGCCACATATGCTCAACAGCCATACGTGGTTTGTGGCTACCATATTTAAGAGCTCAGATGTGGCTCTTGCCTACTGCTCTAACCTCAACTCACACTATATTCTCCTTCAATAATAAGGATTCAGCCTCAGTGGCATTTTAAAAAATTTCTTAAGCACACAAAGTTGCTTCTCACCTCAAGGCCTTTGCACATACAGTATGTGCAAATAGTTGCCTCTAATAGTTCTACTCTCTTCACATGAGCCTCCAACTTCTCAGTGTTCATGTAATCTTAAGTGTCACAGGCTCCAAAAGACCTCCTCCAACTGTCTTATCCAAGGGTTGGTCACCCTTATCAGAACATCATGTTCTTCCTTTTTTTAATGTTTATTTATTTGGGGGGGGGGGGGAGAGAGAGGGAGACACAGAATCCAAAGCAGCCTCCAGACTCTGAGCTGTCAGCATGGAGCCCGACGCAGGGCCTGAACTCACAAACCGTGATACCATGACCTGAGCCAAAGTCGGATGCTTAACTGACTGAGCCTCCCAGGCACCCCAGAATATCATGTTATTTCTTCAGGGCACATCCCATGTAATGACTTACTCATTCACTTGTTTTATTGTCTGCCTCATCCATTACTATACAAGGATAACCATGAATCTGCCCTGGTTCCTTTATATCTTTTGTTCTGGGGTAGTTATTAATAGCACCCCTTTGGGGTGCCTGGGTAGTTCAGTTGGTTGAGCATCCAGCTTCAGCTCAGGTCATGATCCTGCGGTCCGTGAATTTGAGCCCGCATCGGGCTCTGTGCTGACAGCTCAGAGCCTGAAGCCTGTTTCAGATTCTGTGTCTCCCTCTCTCTCTGACCCTCCCCCCAGTTCATGCTCTGTCTCTGTCTCAAAAGTAAATAAACGTTAAAAAAAATTAAAAAAAAAATAGCACCCCTTTTACTCTCAAAAGTGTCCTAATTTAGATGATAAATTATATGGCCACCCTAATTATATCCTTAATACAGAGAACAGTGTCTAATACATGGTAGGTACTCATTAGCTATTTGAGTATATTATGAATTGTTATCTTATAACCTTACAAAGAACTATAGGCATTTTTCCAAATGATGAATGCATTCCTGGGAAACCCCACATTCTATAAAAACTCACACTGAAAATAATAGGTTTTATGGGAAAAACAATGTTGTTAGGACTTACTCAAAATGTATGTGGCTTTGTAATCAGAGTTCTAATGAAAACATTAACTGGTGGAGGCAATATATCCAAGAACATTTACAGTGGAAATGCCCGGTTAAAGATGCTATGATAATGCAGATTCAGTAAAGCTCTGAGCCATTGGGGCTACCATTAAAGCAGACACAGGAGAAAGTGAACTTGTCACAAGCAAGAGCCATGCAAGTGCACTTGGGGTGCACTTCTGGGGAAGGTATCTAAATTCTCATCCTTAATTACCTTAAAACAGAGCTGAAAGGACTCCCACCTATGCAGCAGCTGAGTTTCTTTTTTTTTTTTTTCTTATAATCATCCTTCTATTCTATTTCAGCTTCCCTTGCCTTTTTTATACGAATACACACAATTCTCACATTATAGTGCTATCATTCTCCTATTTGCCAACTGCATATAAGCTAACTGGTGCCAAAGAAACACACATAAAGAACACTACAGGCTCCCAAACTCACTGATTAGGGGTCGGCAAACCACAGCCTATGGGTCCAATCTAGTCTGCTGCCTATATACTTAAGTAACATGTAACTGGAACACATCCATGTTTATTCACTTACACATTGCTTATGGCTGGTTTGCACTGCAAGTAGACTGAAATCGTTGTGACAGAGATCTTAGGGCCCACAAAGTCAAAAGAATTTATTCTCTAGCCCTTTACAGAAAAAGTTTGCAGACTTCTGCTTTAAATCACCATGAATTAATAGAGGGGACACAAAATATACTCAAAAAAGATGTCTTCCCAACTCCCTGGCCAAAACTCAAAAAAGGAAGGGTACAGGGAGTGTTCTTCTATGGAGAATAGGCTGTGCAACCTGACCTTACACCCTTGCAGCAGACACCTCTTACAACTTACAAAGGCATCAGCTTATTACCAGTTTCACAAAAGCAAAGCTGCTGCCACCACTTTCACTCCTGCCCGAATTCTGAGGGAGCACAGAGAGAGAAAAGGAGATCACCTGGGACACATATGCATACCCTAAAAGTTAAAGGACCCTTTTCTGTAATGTGATAATCACTACCATACGTGAATTTCACAATTTCTTGAAATACATGTTATCTACTTTACTTTCTTGATGGTACTTATGCTTTAATTTACGGCTATAAAGGGGAGCCAGCACCTTATCTTTTTAAAAGAACTTAGGGGAAGTAGGTCTGATTAAAAGAAGAGACTGGTGTTTCCTTTCTCCAGTGGAAAACACTACCATGTAAGTTTTCAAAGCCCTTTTAACTCACATAAATAGATAACAGACTATAAAACGTTTAGAGTTTAAGAAACCACTTATGTGTTTTCATAAAATATAAACGGCCTACATAGTGCTATGTAGCCAACAGCTGTTTTACCTCCACTCTTCCCAAAAGTTCATCCTATATCCTATAGATTGCTGTGAATTAATTTTACTTCTCTGGATCCTTTTAGACAATCGACCATTTTTCATAATAGGCTGGTTGTTGTTTAAACCTCTATTCCCTTTTTTATCAAATGATGGGATTTACCCCATTTCTCTACCTATAATCCTCTCTAAATCTTCATTTGTTTGCTGCTATTGCCCCTTTTGGGGCACAGCAACGTACAATCCTACACTGCACAAAATGTGTCTCACTCCTGCATATGAAGTATTAACCTTTTTGGCTGCCAAGGTTTTGTGGCGGATTTAGGCTCTAAGCAAACACGGAGTTAGGAAGGTTTGGCCCACCGGTAGAAGGAAAGGCTGAAATCCCTGGTTGCCACTATGTCTGCATCAATACAGGAGGGGAAGAAAGGTTCTAGTTCACGGGGCCTCCAAAGATAGAACCTCCTCTGTGCTTCCCCCTTCCTGGTACTTCTCTCTCACAGGTTTGTCTCCCTCACCAAGATCAGGAAATTCTTTTGAGCTTATAACAGCAAGGACCATATTATAGTTATCACTGTATTCCAAGTGCTAAAGCAAAGTGATGCTATTATGTGTGTGCTTCCCTTGCCTTCATTCAACATATGTTTACTCAGGAAACTAACACGTTCCAGGAAAACAGAACTACAACAGTGAGCAAAACCAGACATGGTCTCTGCCCTACTGGAGCTTGCAATCTAGGAGAGAATAAAACAATAATGAAACAATTGCTCTGATGAAAGTGTGACATAAATGATCTAAGGACAAAAACCAGACTTTTATGACAGCATATAACAAAGGACTCTGAATTAGTCAAGGAGTTCAGAAAATATATCCTCAAGAAGATTTAAGCTAATACGTGAAGGCTGAGTAGGTGTTAACTAAGGAAGGGGGAATTGGTAAGGGACAATATTCCATATAGAGAATACATAAATGCAAAGGGCCCATGGCAGGAGGAAGAAATGCATATTCAAGGAACCAGAAGAAAGCTGGAGAGGCTGGAATAGACAGCAAGGAGGAGGGTTGGATGAGTTAAGATTGGATGAGAAAGGTAGAGTAGAGGTCAGACCACACAAGTTCCATGAGGTTAGAGTAAGAAGTTTGGTCTTTATTCTGTGAATAACAGCAAGCCAAAGCAGGGGTTTTAAGCTGGATACTGTGTGTGTGTGTTTGTGTGTGTGTGTGTGTGCGTGCGTGTGTGTGTGTGTGTGTGTGTGTGTATGTGTGTGTGTATTTTCATTTTGAAAAGACCATTCTGGCAAAATATTTGAAAAATGAATACTGCTACGAAAAGGACTATTTAGGGCCTCCTAATCTCTGTTAGATGACTAAAGAAATAAATACTAAAGCTTATTTGGTAGACAGAAGCAAATGAAATTAGATATTCCTTAAACAACAGATAAGTTAAAGGGCACCTTCATGGCTCAGTTGGTTAAGCACCTGACTCTTTGATTTCAGCTCAGGTCGTGATCTCACACTTTGTGAGTTCAAGCCCCGTTCTGGGCTCCACGCTAACAGTGCAGAGACTGCTTGGGATTCTCTCTCTCTCTCCCTGTCTCTCTGCCTCTCCACTGCTGATGCTCTCTCTCTTCAAATAAATAAATAAACTTAAAAAAAAAAAAAAAGACAAATCAGTTCCTGGTCAGGGTGCCAATAAAATCCAAATCTGACAGACAGACAAAATGAGCCAAGGGAATGGAGTCTGAAGCTATGGATGTGGAACCATCACCCAGACAAGAGCCTCAATCCCTCCTTACCCTAAGGTGTGGCAATAGGAAGTACAGGTTACGTGAGTTACTTGGCATTCTGAAACAGGAGGGGAACAGACAAAGCAGCAAAGAAAATCATGCTACATTCTACTGTTGTTATGATCTGGGTCCAGATAGGCACCTTCAATCTGAACGGAGAGAATCCCCAGATCCCGAAGCTGCTGGTTGTTGCTCTGAGCCAGGATCCGTAGCCGCTCCGCTGCTTCCCGGGGGATGTTGAATGTCACACGCACGCTGTTCCAGGGCTCCACCTTCTGTACCTTTAGCTTGCTGGATTCTTGGTCATGAAAGAAAGTGAATAATATTAGTAATCTTTTAACCACCAGAAGACATGGAACAAACAAAACTAACCAAAAGCAAAAGAACAAGGCAGAGCATTGCCTTGGAGTAGCTGTGAGAACTTAGTCTTTGGCATTAGATAGACTTCAAATCTAATTCCAGTTTTAGCACTTAGCACCTGAGTGGCCATGAACAAATTATTCAACCTTTCTGAAACTTACCTTTCTCTTCTTTAAAACCATGAAAAAACTATTTCATGAGAATGTGAGTACTAAATGAGAAAATATATGCCAAAAACCTAGCACAGGCCCTGATATACACACATGCAGTAAATACATGGAAAGCAGTAAGATGGAGTAAGGATTATAAGAGAGAGAAAGAGAGAGACAAGTTTAAATGAATAGACTAAGGTCTATTTCTGGATTCCATTCAATACATGTGAACTGGCATCATGAGAATATTTAAGTCTCACATTTCATTGAAATTCTATAAATACAAAAATACAGTATGCAGACTATGCCAGTTCATAGTCCTATTTAAATATTAACTAGTGGGGCGCCTGGGTGGCGCAGTCGGTTAAGCGTCCGACTTCAGCCAGGTCACGATCTTGCCGTCCGCGAGTTCGAGCCCCGCGTCAGGCTCTGGGCTGATGGCTCAGAGCCTGGAGCCTGTTTCCGATTCTGTGTCTCCCTCTCTCTCTGCCCCTCCCCCGTTCATGCTCTGTCCCTCTCTGTCGCAAAAATAAATAAATGTTGAAAAAAAAAATTAAAAATAAATAAATAAATAAATAAATAAATATTAACTAGTATTGGGGCACCTGAGTGGCTCAGTTGGTTAGGCTTCCAACTGATCTCAGCTCAGGTCATGATCTCAGGGTTGTGAGTTTGAGCCCCATGTTGGGCTCCACACTAGGCATGGAGCCTACTTAAAAATAAATAAATAAACAAACAAACAAATAATGAGTATCTCTGTACAAGATATTCACAAAGACAAGAAGAAGATATTTCTTCCAGTGTCCCATAAATCCTTCAATTTAAGAAGGAGGCTTTTTTTGTCTTTGATTTTAAAGTTTTTCCTGCTTTAAAAAATTTTATTTTTTTTTAACATTTATTTATTAATGAGAGAGAGAGACAGAGCATGAGCAGGGGAGGGGCAGAGAGAGAGGGAGACACAGAATCTGAAGCTGGCTCCAGGCTCCGACTGTCAGCACAGAGCCCGACACAGGGCTCGACCTCACAAACCATGAGATCACGACCTGAGCCAAAGTTGGATATTAACCGACTGAGCCACCCAGGCGCCCCAATTTTTTCCTGCTTTAAATAAGAGTATAATTTTCACTGAAGCATACTGCTCTGAAGGGAAAAACAATATAATTTGACAACAAAGCTTCAGTTAGGATATGAAAACCCTGCATTTCAGCAAGTCTGAAAAGTCAATGCAAACTTCAGGACATGTTTTTAAAAGAAGGTACAAAAGTTTAACTGAGGAGGTTAAATGTTGTTTGTAATTGTGTTTTACAGATGAAAAACAAATCCCAGACCCAGTTAACTCATAAAAAAATTTTTTTCTCAATAACCCCAGGCAAAATAATTTTCCCTTTTGTTATGAACTTGGCTAAATTAAGTCTTTGGTATCCTCTATTTATGCGTTCCAGTATCAAGAAAATGGGTCATATGGGCATATGTGTTGTCAAAATCAGATATATCTATAGATAAAGTGCCTACATGTTGCCTAAAGCCCCTTCCACCTCCAAAACCACTACACATTGAAAGTTAATTTAACCAGACATGGAGTTCACTTGTTCTAATGTGGATATAAAAGACCACTTGCTAACCGCAGTAAGATAATACAATTATAGAACTTAAGAAAAGATTAGGCAATATTTAGTCCAAGTCTATTTTACATGTGAGGAAGCTGAGGCCAAGAAAGGCTAAGTGATCTGCCTAGAATCCTGTGGTCTAACCTAGCAGCACCAGAGATGGGACTAACACCCAGCTCTGATTCTCAGGTCAATTTCCTTTCCATGACACTTATGCCTCCAAAAAGCAAAAGGTAGGAAGCGAGGGATCCTAGTTCCAGAGTATATATGCCCAATCTAAAGAGTACCAATATCTCATTCAAAGTCTAGACATACATCAAAATTGCTTATGGTATTATCTATTTATGATATGGGTGTAGAAAAATCCTGTTTATAACATGGTTATATTTATCAAAAGTTTTTTTAACTTCCATCATACTTGACATTTGACTTAAAATACTTGTGGACCAAGAATACAATCTGATAACACCATAAATCTGGGTTTGGCAATTTATTTGAAAGCCATAAACAAACTGATTCAGCTATCCATCCATATTTTATTTTTTTATTTTATTTTATTTTTTTATTTTAATTTTTTAATGTAAGTTCTACACCCAAAGTAGGGGATTAACTTATGACTTGGAGATTAAGAGTTGCATGCTCTAAGGGCGTCTGAATGGCTCAGTCAGTTAAGTGTCCAACTTTGGCTAAGGTCATGATCTACAGTTTGTGAGTTTGAGCCCCACATGGGGCTCTGTGCTGACCGCTCAGAGCCTAGAGCTGCTTCAGATTCTGTGTCTCCCTCTCTCTCCACCCCTCCCCTGCTTGTGCTCTGTCTCTCTCAAAAATAAATAAACATTTTAAAAAATTAAAAAAAAAAAGTTGCATGCTCTACCAACTGAGCCAGCGAGGCACCCCTGATTCAGCAATCTCAAACAAGAAAAAATGGGGGTAATTATAAGAGCAATAAACACTTTCGTGCTCACTGACACTCTTATCTCTGTGTAATATGATATATTAGGACTATAAAAATTTAATTTCATGTATGCTGCTCTAATCTGGAAAAGGTCTTGTAATATATTGTGAATAAGACTAGAGTGACAATGATGTTAATAACTGTAAGTTTAACATATAAAATTCTCTAATACTATTCTTTACATGGTATAAAAAAGCCCTTGAGAAAATGACATCAAATCTCAAAAAAAAAAAAAACAAAAAAACCAAAAAACCACCAAGCCTAAAAAAATTAGTAAGATCTAGGCTTTGTACTATGTCTGATGAGATTAGATAAGTGTGCTAACCAAAAATGATGTAGAACCTCTAACCAAGTTTCAAAAACACAAATGCCTACAAGACCTAGACAGGTAATCCAAGTGTATGAAGAGGCCAGATGGGAACTATCTGAGATGAGGGCCTGCCCTCAATAGCAGCTGCTCCTCAGCACTGCCCGGGACAAGGAGAGAGTTCAATGTTATCAAATCTTTCCATTTTTAGAGTTAAATCCAAAATCTGGATTTGTATGCAAAATATTTCAATTTTTAAAGCATTGGCGATGAAATTCAAACATCAAAACAAACAAAACTAAAGCAGAGCCATAACACATGGTTGCAGGCTGGATCCAACAGGTTGCCAGTTGGCAGCCTGATCTAAAATTTAGGAAGACAAGGGGCACCTGGGTGGCTCAGTCGGTTAAGCATCTGACTTCAGCTCAGGTCATGATCTCCTGGTTTATGGGTTGGAGCCCTGCATTTGGGGCTCTGTGTTGACAGCTCAGAGTCTGGAGCCGGCTTCAGATTCTCTGTCTCCCTCTCTCTGCCCCTCCCCATCTTGCCTTCTGTCTCTCTCTCAAAAGTGAACATTAAAAAATAAGAAATAAATAAAATTCAGGAAGGCAAATTTCAAGTACATTTTAAGTAGAACCATGAAGTAAGATTTTTCTAAGCTTTTAGGGGCCTTTAAGATCCAGTCTAACCTCTTCATTTTGTAGGTAAGGAAACTAAAGACCAGAGAGTTAAAAACAAGAAATAAAATTGGGTCTTGAGCAGATAATTTAAGGATTACTATGTTAAACAATACCTTATTATGTTCAGTTTCTCCATGTACTTAAAAGAAACACAACAGCATTTCTATTAAAAGAAAAAATTCTAGGGGCACGTGGGGGGCTCAGTGGGTTAAAGCATCTGACTCTTGATTTTGGCTCAGGTCATCATCTCATGGTTTGTGAGTTCAAGCCCCACACT